GTAAGACAGTGCCTGATGCGATTTATGCGTCCGGAAGCCCTTTCAGCCTCCCAGGCATGTCCCCACAACTGCCTCACAGCCAGCGGGGGTCTAATTGTGTGCGCGTTCGCATGTGGCATATGTCCCGCCACCTTTCTGGCATCTATTGATGGTATGATGAATCGTTGTACGATGTAAGGCTGCGCCTGATGCGATCTTGTTCGCGGAAGGGCCCCCTGAGTGCTGCCAAGCATGTTATTCTCTCATGAGACTGCGTGAAGGTTAACGAACTGAGTATGCGACCAACACATAAAACATCGCATGTGAATTGTTATGTCATGCGATTAATCAAAGTAAATCGCGTGTGTTTGGTGTGTGTTTGGTGTGTTAGGCCGCAGTAAACTTGACGCAACCTGACGCAACGAGCCTTCATACGCTTGAAACGCAACATTTGTCTGCATGCTCTGCCTCCTTATCAGGCAAAAGAATGAAAACCGCGTATTTGGAGAAATGTTCAATACAAATCATGACGTACGTATTCCCAGCTGCGGTTTTGGCAAATGGACCACACAGATCAACTCTCCAACGATAGAACATCCCTTGAACAGGCAAAGGATTAAGAACAGGGGAAGGAGATGCAAATGAGGTGTTGACGCGGTCACAAGACTCGCAGTGCCGTACAACAGTGGAAACGTCGCGATGCATACCATGCCACCAGTGCTGGGTGAGCAAAAGTGCCAAGGTGCGACGAACGCCAAAATGTCCCGTCTCTTCGTGGGTGCGCTGAACAAGTGCAAGACGATCAGGCGGTTTAGGAACCAACCGCCTACGGGAATCACTAAATATGCGGTATAGATTGCCACCTAGCATGCGATAGTGCCTGGTGCGGCGAATTACCCGACGTTGCTCATCGAGCGAAATGCCAGGCATATGCGCGCCCGTGCGAGTATAATGCATGCACATGTCGTCCTGCCAGATGTCAGGAAACCGTTCGCCTGAAACAGCGACTTCTTCCTGTTCGGCTTGAGTAGCGGCGGCAAAGACAAGTGGCCAAGAAGCTACTACTTCAGAGTTAGAAATGGGAAATGCAAGACCGTGAACGGTTGATTGATCAGGAGGTTGAGAAACCGAAACTGCTGCTGCAATTTCATGCAACGAAACGTTACTCAAAACACGAATAATAGCAAGCATGCCACTAGTGCAAAATGCGTCAGGCGCAATGACCAAGAGATAACGACGTGATTGCTCGTCCACCCCTGGCCCTATGGCATACTCCAGGCCGGTTCCGGCCCGGTTCCGACCTAACGGGTCCAGTTAACGAGATCGGTAACCGGTCGGTAGGATTACCGGGCGAACCGTTATCCGTTAACCGTCCCCAGTAATCGGTAACCGATGTCGGTAACCTGGCATGAGCCAAAATGAAATTAATACTGAGATATCTAAGATGAGAATGTAGTATGAGTAATGCTAAAAATTACTCATAGATAGGTACAATGACCGTACACACAAATCGAAATTGAAATACAGGAGCCACTAAATTGTTTGGCTAAATTACTTTAGCCGTATATTGTGAAGACATTCCATTTAGCATCACTGTGTCCTTTCCTGCTTCTTAATTGGAACATACATGGACGCCGCGGGCAGCAAACGTGGCCACTGTGAAAATCCAGGTTGCTATATTCATGGAAAAAAGCGCAAGCTTTGCAGGAAAGTTTGTAGCATTCCTGATTGCAACCAGTTTCTTTGTGACAATGCCGATTGTCACAAGGTTCATGCCCACGTGTCACACCCTGACAAGCTTGGGGAGGTTAAGGCAGTGACTCGAGCTGAAAAATCTAGCATCGAGGTCCCAGAGATCTTTGAGGCGTATCGAGGTCACCAAAAGTGCTCGGTCTGCCACACACAGCGGTCGACCAGGCGGTAAGACACCACATTAGTCTAGACCTAAATGCCAGCCCCCATCGATAAACCATTGAACTCGCCCTGCTCCCCCCCCACCTTAGGTGCAAGCTGTGTCAGGCCTTGACTTGCAATGATTGTGAGTCAGGGCACCTGCACTTTTGCAGCTTTAAACTCGAGTGTGAGTTGTTTGATGGTTCATCAGAGTATGGGCTCTGTGTACTGTCAGATGGCTCAGAGCTGCGCTCAGCAGACTACCACAACCTCATCAAGACCTTGGCCCTGGATCCATCCCCTCCTTGCCACACGGTCGAATCGGCTGCCAAGGGGCACATCCATGTTGCTGTCCCTCAGCTTGAAGTGGCCATGCAAAACATCACCGGCCATCCCATTAAGATCCTCGCTCTGGCAAGTACCGGCACCGATGCGAACAACCTGCTATGGGATGTTGCCAACTTGCAAGCAAGTCACCTGTCTGGTGCCCATCAGAAGGGGTACATGATGCTCCAGGATGGGGGATATGGTGAAGCTCGTGGGCCAATCGCAGCCTTGTCATCAAGGCTCTTTGTCCATGATGGGCGTGCAAATGCTCAGGACCCAGACATCCTGGCACTCCGTCCCTTGCTGGTGTGCCCGCTCCCCCTGGGCTGGAGCTACATGTCCGAGGTTGGAGAGCTCTCCAGGCGCAAGATAGAGGGCATTCACCTCTTCTCCAGCTCTTGTGAAGCCATGGTGAGCACCCGGTCTAAGGCTATTATTGCTGAAGCGAAGAGTGCACCTCCCGCCGCCAAAGAGGATGCTAAGGCAGCGGCTACCTATGTCAGGCAGGTGGCCACGGCCCTTCACCAACAGTCGGACTCGAGCACCCTCATTCCTGCTCCACTCACAGAGACCGAGGAGGCTGCAATCACTGTCGTCAGCTCGAGGATGCACCAGGTCCATGTGGGTGTAATCTTGATTGAGACCTTCACATCCAATGACCTAATGGGATATACCTATGGCTTTTTGCTGGCGCTCAGGCATCTCACAGCAGCTAAGGGTGTCATCCTCGCGATTGACGACATCATGATGGCACTTCACACTGGGCACATATTTTCGTACCTTCACTATCCAGCTTTCTTCCCCGACCTCATCACATTTGGGAAGGGGCTGCAGGCATGTGGGGTGGCCCAGGTTTTTCCCCCGCCGGACGCGCCAGCATACATCCAGCACAGTAGCAGGTCGACGGCACTGATGGGTCTGGATCTTAGCAGGTTGGGAGGGCGCGTCACCAATGGAGGTGTTGACAGGATCACCCTGGAGCGGGCTATTGCCATCTTGGAGGAGTTCATGGCTCGGGACCTCAAGGGCAACAGTATCAGTCTTGGCAGCACTTTCATTGATGAAGCATGTTCATTGTTTGCACGCAAGGGTGTCCAGCGGTACCTGCGCAGCATGGCCGGGATTTGGGCCTCAGATGCAGCATTTGGGGGGGTCTTACGGCAGAACCTACTTCACGTGCGGGTGATCATGAGACTGGACATGCACACCGACCTCTTGAAGGAGGTCTTCACTGCAGTCGGAAAGCATACAAATCCAGAGGCCCAGGAGGGGAGGGGTGCACACTGCCAGCTGTCGACTGCCGTCACTCCTCCCCTAGACACGGTCCTGTTTGGATGCCAGTTGAAAGCAGGGGTGACAGCCTTGTGCAGTGAGGTGTGAATGCCGGGTGACAGGGGTGACAGTCTTGTGCAGGCACATTTGGAGACTAGTTTACAGGAATGACACTGATGCACACGGTCCTGTTTGTATGCCAGTTGAAAGCAGGGGTGACAGCCTTGTGCAGTGAGGTGTGAATGCCGAGTGACAGGGGTGACAGTCTTGCGCAGGCACATTTGGAGACTAGTTTACAGGAATGACACTGATGCACACGGTCCTGTTTGTATGCCAGTTGAAAGCAGGGGTGACAGCCTTGTGCAGTGAGGTGTGAATGCCGGGTGACAGGGGTGACAGTCTTGCGCAGGCACATTTGGAGACTAGTTTACAGGAATGACACTGATGCACACGGTCCTGTTTGGATGCCAGTTGAAAGCAGGGGTGACAGCCTTGTGCAGTGAGGTGTGAATGCCGGGTGACAGGGGTGACAGTCTTGTGCAGGCACATTTGGAGACTAGTTTACAGGAATGACACTGATGCACACGGTCCTGTTTGGATGCCAGTTGAAAGCAGGGGTGACAGCCTTGTGCAGTGAGGTGTGAATGCCGGGTGACAGGGGTGACAGTCTTGTGCAGGCACATTTGGAGACTAGTTTACAGGAATGACACTGATGCACACGGTCCTGTTTGGATGCCAGTTGAAAGCAGGGGTGACAGCCTTGTGCAGTGAGGTGTGAATGCCGGGTGACAGGGGTGACAGTCTTGTGCAGGCACATTTGGAGACTAGTTTACAGGAACAAAACCGATGCACACGCCCCACCTGTTAAGATCTCCACCTTGAAACCAGCACTTGAACAGCCTTACTCCCCTACCCAATAATACCGGGTGACAGGGGTGATCTCTGCTACCCCGTTTGACAGACATGTAATGTGTTAATTTAAAGACTACCCTGCATGACTGTGGAACAAATATGCATACCAACACCCCCACGGCAACCCTGTCACCCTGATTTTAATAAAAGATTACACCCATCATTGTTACCCCTGTCACTTGGCATCCACACAAGACTGTACAAGGCTGCCATCTCTGTCACCGGGCGTCCATACACAGTGTCATATCACCCCAAACAGTTTAGGGCCTTCACCACTCCGAACCACACGAGGCCATCCACACAAGACTGCACAAGGCTGTCATCTCTGTCACCTGGCGTCCATACACAGTGTCATATCACCCCAAACAGTTTAGGGCCTTCACCACTCCGAACCACATGAGGCCATCCCCTTCTGCATCTGGCCACATATCCCCAACCCAGATCTCCTCCATGATCTTGCAGCGCTGATGGTGACAACCCTCCTTGGTGTACCGCTGATACAAGAGCTCGAGCCTGTTGGACCCAGCTTGTGCTCGAGCCCGTTGGACCCAGCTTGTATATTTCGCTGACAATCATAAAACTCCACTCCCTCGCCCTCCTATTACACGTCCTCCTATTCACCTCCTGGTGTCGATTTCACGCCTGATTACATCTGCAAAGTGGCCAAGGTTGCACTCCCGCTGGATGTCCTCCCTCTTCATGCCAGGGGGCATTAGCCGAGCCGTTTGCTCACTCCTGGTTGCAGAAGTCGCAAGACCCAGCAGGTTTTCGATGCTGGCGCTGGGCGGCAGGCCATTTGGGTGGGCTGCACGGATGCCACTTGTCAAGGTCAGGATGACAGCGACTGGGTTGCTGCTCTTACTGTGTAGCTTGTACACCCACTCGTCCGGTTTTTTAGTACGGAACAGAACCGACATTAGCGTGACGCCGAAGGAATAGAAATCGAAGGCCTTTGTGTGTTTGGATCCTGATGTGTTGCCCTCTGGTGGCCTGAAACCGGGGGTACCAACCTGTAGGGTGAGTCATCACCAGGTGTCAAGAATCTCAAGTGGCAGGTGGTCCAGTACAAGCATAATCCTACCTGGCCGGAATCCATATTGGCAAAAATCGCCAGATCATAATCGGCAAGACGGGCATGACCAGCCTCACCCCCGGAGTTGTCTATCTGCAGCCCATGAAAAGTGTTCATCAAGGTGGTCAGTGGTCCAGTGCATAATAATAGAATGCCCGGATTGATGGTGCTCAGCATCACGAACTTACCAGGATGTTGTCGGGCTTTACATCACGGTGGACGAAGCCAGCTCTGTGGAGGCTATGGCATCCCAGTGCAGCATCCGCAACATAGCCAAGCATTTCCGACAGACTAGCATCCTTTGCCGATAGCATATCGCCAAGTGTTCCACCTGGCATGAAGTCCCACACCAGCCCAACCGTGTCCATCACGTTTCCCCGCACAACCCCTCGGAGGGGCAAGAGGTTGCAGCTCAACAACTGCATGCCGATGCTCAAATTCATAGCGATCGCCTGTTGGATGGCTGTATGCTGGGGGTTGTGCTTGAACCTCTTCATGACAATTTCGCCCGCGAAGGTACTGCTCTTGTAGGTGTAGCCAAATCCCCCTGAACCAATGTCCATGATTTGCCCCTTGGCAATCATTTCCTCCACCTGGGCCTCCGAGTATGTGAGGATAACTGATGACTGCCCTCCACACCAGGTGTTAGTACTACTATCGACCATGACAGTTGGTGATGCAGTCTTGAAACCATCAAGGTGCTGTTCGACTTCTGGTCCTGCATGCCTTGCTCGCATCCATCCCTTCCCCTCGATGAACACCTTCGCATGGTGGGTGACAGGGGTGACAACATTGCGCGCAGGCTTGTGTGGATGCCAGGTGACAGATCTGACAAATTGGGTACACATGTGTGAATGCTGCGTGACAACAAAGCGTGCAGGCTTGTGTGAATGCTGCTTGACATTGGTGGCATTGGTGACACAAACATTGTTGTGAATGCCGGGTGGTGACGCTGACGTTGATGACACAAACATTGTTGTGAATGCCGGGTGACAGGGGTGACAGCCTTGTGCAGGAAGGTTTATGCAGATTACAGGTGACAGGTGTGATGGCCTTGTGCAGTCAAGGAATGCCAGGTGACACGGGTGACAGAGGTGTGCACACATGGACAAGGATAAATTTAGGTATTTTAGGTATATACCTGAATCATATACCCAATGGCATACTCCAGGCCGGTTCCGGCCCGGTTCCGACCTAACGGGTCCAGTTAACGAGATGGGTAACCGGTCGGTAGGATTACCGGGCGAACCGTTATCCGTTAACCGTCCCCAGTAATCGGTAACCGATGTCGGTAACCTGGCATGAGCAAAAATGCATTTCTGATTGCAACCAGTTTCTTTGTGACAATGCCCATTGTCACAAGGTTCATGCCCACGTGTCACACCCCGACAAGCTTGAGGAGGTTAAGGCAATGTGAATGCCGGGTGACAGGGGTGACAGTCTTGTGCAGGCACATTTGGAGACTAGTTTACACTGAGATTGGGGTGATGTTGGATTAGAATACTTGCAGTTCATGAAATTGAGGAAATGTGTTGCATAGGCATATCCAAACGTTTCAGAGGGACGTTGTTTCGCCCGTAACAAACTTGTTACGGGCGAAACAAACTGGATTTCCACAGTCCCACCACTCAAAGAGCTCCCCACACCATCGCAAAGTCCCTTTTTTATTACAGACACATGTAACAAGTTGTCATAGCTTGAGATTGTCGATATATGACTGCTGGATTGTGACGAGGCCATCTCCTTACATGTCTTGCTGCACCAGCATGAGCAGTGATCCCTTCTGTTCAAAATTTCAGGCAACATCGCAATGAGGCAAAACATTGTGCCGAATCTGCCGTACAAAGAGTGTTCAAAGCTTCACGCTACTAACGGACGAATACATAAGCATTCATTTACCTTAAAAGAATAACGGAATTCTATAGCTTCATACAAATTCGCCTATCAGCAACTCTCCCTGGTCGTTCAAAAGTTGCTTGAAGATTCTACCATCTCCATACTATGAAGGAGCGTTTCTTCATTTCTTCATTTTATCTGAACCTTAACGTATCCTTCCAACACAATGTCCATGGACAACGGTAATGAGGTCGGCGCCTACGAGTTTGACCGGAACGCCCTGGACAACATCGCCCGTCGGCGACAAGATCGCCCACGCAAGAAATACAGCCAGCATCGTCCAGTGGATGAGTTTGGAGTACATAAGTTTGCCAGGGCAAACCATCTAAGTCAATTTACCGCGTGCCAATTGGAGGATGCCTTGTCCAAGGAAAGGTGCCATATGGACGACCTTGTCAACCTATTGCGCCAATCTAGTGACATGGACGCAAAGCAGTTGCTTGGGGACATCGGCCGAAATGCCGGGACAATGACTTATTAGGGACAATGACACGGCATTTCACGCCCTCAAAGCGGCCCTATGGCATAAACATGCCGGTTACCGACCGTTTGGGGCCCATTAACCCAACCGGCCGGTTGAATGGCGTTAACGGCCCGGTTGGGTTAACGGTCGGTTGGGTTAACGGCCAGTTGGGTTAACGATCAGCTG